TAAATAGTTTTTGTTTTTATAAATCTTTATAATATATTGCTGATTTTTGTTGCTGAATTTTTAAAAATAGCAAAATTTATATTATAAATTTATATTGTTTTTTAAATTTATATAAATTTATATTATTTCCGTTTTTTATTAAATATTGGATCAAACAAATGAAAAGAGGAGAAATAAATTATATAAATTAAAACTATTTTATAAAATCTTTTTATTTTTAATATATTTGTTAACTTTTTTACTTTTTTTTTGTATCAAATAATAAACAAATTCAATAAAATATAAGTGAATAATGCATACAAATAACATAAATAACATTATGAATTTTTTAAAAAAAATATTGTAAATATAGAAACTTGTTATATTATGTATATTAATTATTATGTATAATAATGATTGCTATATACAAAACCAAGATGATTATATAAAATTTTGTTACAAAAAAAAAAAAAACGAATTTTATTGGATTTTCAAAATCATTTGATTTTTCATTAATATATTCATTTTTGAAAAAAATGGAAAAATAAATTTGCAGGAAGTTAATATTGGAAGTATAGTGTAACTATGTATGGTACCGGCTATTATATTATTGTCATAACATTTTTTATCCTTTTAATAATATCCTTTTAATAATGCATAAAAAAATAAAAAAGTTTAACAACTATTAAAAGTAATAAGATCTTAAAAAAATATTAAAAGTAAAAAGATCTTATAAAATAATTATAAATTTCTTTCTTTTTTTCTCTATTTTCATCTGGTATGTTGATCCAATATTTAATAAAAAACAGAAATATATAAATTTTTCTATTTCTAAAAATTCAACAAATTTAAAAATTAACAATATTTATTAAAAAAAATATTTTGTTTTTTTATACTATCACATAGTTATTTAGATTGTTAATTAAAATTTGATGTTTAAAAATTTAAAAAAGTTATTAATTTTTTTATTTATTACTTTTTTTTAATTGTATAAATTAATTATTATTGATAATAATTAATAAATGTTTTACCACATAATATTAAGTTCTCATGAAAAGAAATAACTTTTATCTGAAAGTTTTTTTTGTATTTCTTATGTTTGCGAATTATAATATAAAATCAAAAAATAGCCAAATTTTCAAGAATTGATTATTCGGACAGTAAAAAATATTGCATAATACATACCTACATAAGCACTACATAAGCATATATTCTCAAAGTTTCATAATTTTTTGAATTTTCGGGTTGGAAATTTTTCCTTATAAAATATAATAATGATAATTATTTCACATGTTAAATTTGCGCATCAAATGCCTGTGATGAATCATAGAAAGTTACAAAAGTTTTAATCTCCATGCGTTGCGATGCGATTTTGTAAAGGAACCGTAATTGTGATTGGTTCGTTTTAACTTCCTTTTAGTTTGCATTTTCGCGGAAAATAATGATTGGAGAATCATCAAGAATCAAGATTCGCAACAGTTTTCTAAAAATAGTTAGAATTCAGCCGAGATAGAATTCATTTATCAATCAACCGCAAATAGTTAGAGATAATCATCATTAATTCATTCTTACAATACAAACAATTATACAGTTCTATAACCGTAGTTCTTCAAGCGATAATATTCAGTTCAGGCATCCCATTTCGTACAATATTCAAAATTACATTAAGTTGCATTTTAATAAAGTGTAAAATACATTACAGTATGATTCTATATTTCTGGATCGATGAAAATCTAATAAAAACAAAAATGATCTTGATCTCGATATTCAAGATGAATTTTTTATTTATCTTTGATATTATTTAACTTTGATATTCAATTTTTTTTATTGTATCGTATTCTATTCCTAAGTCTAAAAAAAAAAAAATGATAAGCAAAAAAAAAATCTATATATATATATATTAGTTTTCAAATTTATTTTATTTATAATTTGTTTACATTTTTTCATCAATAACGTTTATTATAGCACATAAATATTTACTAAATCAGAAAATATAAAAAAAAAAAATTATAAATAAAATGAATTCAATTTAATTCGAAAAAATTTTTTCTAAGAAAAATTAAATTACAATTCATGATTGCTTTGAAATTTTTTTATCTTTGTGATAATTAAAATATAATGTAATGAAAAAAATTGATTTTGAATTTCAAGATCATTATCAAGATCATTTTTGAACATACTTTTACATATAGATCTTCTTCAATCCAGAGGTATAGAATAATATTATAATATTTTTTATATTAACTTTTTACATTTTGTAAAATGCAATGTAAAATATTTTTTTATTTATCACAGTAATAATATAATTCTATTTTTTAATTTTCATCTTTATCTTGTAATTTAATAAAATTATATTTAAATATGTCAAAATTTATTTTAATTGATGATGATTAAAAAGTTATTTCTGATTTCGTATTCAAAAATAATGTAAAGAATTTAAATATTTTATATATAAAAAATGGTATATAAATTATTAATATATTCATAGAATAATAATAATAATAATAAACAATGACATTAGTTATAAAAATATCAACTAAAATTTAAGATTTTTATTTTTATTATATTGTCGTATTACTTTATCTTTATTCATTTCACATAATATATTCATTCATCTATATATTTATCATTTCGTCATATTACTTATAGATTATATAGATTAATCAATAAGTCTCAACCAATATTTTTATATCAATTTTTGCATTTGTAAAATCGATCCTTCAAAATTATTCTAGAAATATATATAATAACATCCTATATATTAAAATAATATTGATATTGATCACATTTAACTATTGATACTATTAAATTCTGACAAACGAATTACAACCATTTGATATGTATTCATATCAAATATTTTTTTAATCTAATTTTTAATTGAATTCGGAATCTAATATCATATATAGTATAAATTTTTATTAAACAAACAATTTAATAAACATGCAGAATATTATTTTTTACACAATTTCAATGTTTTTTTGAACTTTTGTCTACTTAAAATTAGATTGAATAATTATATAAATATCATTTTAAATTTTCATGTAGTATCTTATCTTTTTTGGATAAAATTGTCCAAAATTTTTTACAAAATCTCAAGTTTTTCAAAATTAATAATGAAATATTTTATATTTAAAGTGGAAAATAATCTGTCATCATTTAATCAATATTGCAAGATAAAATTTTTTTTTAGATAATAACAATTATTATATTAATACTTACAGGTGAAAATACATGTACATTACAATTATTCTTCTTATAATTAAGTATGAAATCTCGAGCTTCATTAACTATCTATTTAAAATAAAATCATTAGTTATAAAATAATGATTAAAATGAATAAATAAATTTTAATAATATATGACTTACTTTGAATCCTACGTTTGTTCCTTGTTCTACAATAATTAAATATCGTTTTGTTTTATTCCATAATTTTAAAATTGTTTCAAGACGAGATTTTTGGTTTGGTAATTCTAATAAAGAATATGCACTTACTACAATATCATAAGTTGGCTATAATATAATATAAATAACAAATTTAAAGTCTATTTTAGATATTTCAATGTAATATAATAATATATGTAATATAATATATAATAATAAGTTATATTCTTACAATTGGAGATGCAGGAAAGAATTGTCGATAGAAAATATAATTTGTATTAATTTTTTGGTGTAGCATTTTTTATGAGATATTCAGATAATTCATTCATATCTTGAGAAACATCAACACAATAATATTCCTTGATAGATTTATACCAAAATTGTGAAGCTGCCCTAATAAAATTAAGTTTATAATTTTATTGCAATATTTTCAAATAAAAATTATTTAATTTTATATATATCTTACCACATAACTGTGCCAGTTCCTGAACCATAATCAAATAATGTTTTTGGTATAAAACTTTTATCACTATTAACAATTTCATTAAAAATTTTATATAAAACAGAATATTCAGGTACACTTCTACTAATTAAATATGCTAAACTAATGTATTTATTATATGAAATTGGTGACCAATTATATATAAGACTTTTAAAAAGTTTAAGAGCTTTTGGATCATTAAGTATATCATCTTTATTTAAATTTTGTGTTTCATGAATATGTGGATACATTCTTGATTGCACTTCTTGTAATTTTAAATTAATATCTTCTTTTTCTAGTGGAGGATGTCTATTATTTAAATGTGTTGCCAATTTTTTACTACTTTCATTAATCATCTTTGATGAAATTGTTACATCTATATAAATAAAAATATTTTTTCTTTTAATATTAATCTATAATAATCATAAATATTATATTTTAATAATAAAAAATATATTTTTTATAACTTATTACCACGTAAAATATTTTTAATTGTTTTTATAAGCCAACTAGGTTGTTCTATTCTCTTAGGCTTTATTATTCCTGGATGTTGTCTATGTTTAAATTCATTGTTCGAAATTAATTCATTTACAGTACCTATAATTTTCATTTTTTGTTTTGTTGAATACTAATAAAATAAAATCAAATCAATATTTAAATTTAAAATCGTATATTAAAATAATTATTAATAATTCATAAGAAATAATAAATTATAATTATTATCAAAAAAGTATTTTATCAAAGAAAATATTTTTACTTACCCAACGCATTTGTTTATATTTCAAAAATGTTATTTTCATTGACATAATAAATAACCTTATTCAATATTAGTTCTGTCGTGATGAAAAAGTTGAATATAAAATAATAGCTGTAATAAAACATAAAACTTCATTGATGTTAATTAAAATTATAATACAAACGTTTAAAATCTGTCGAATTATATTAAATATAATAATAATATTGCAATATGATATAGTATATATACTATAACCTCAAATCAATTCTACACTGAAATATCTATCGTATGTACAACATGTTTTCCCAAAATAACTTACTATTAAGTTCTTTTCAATAAACTACTAAAAACTTAGTTATTACATATATTAGTGCAGTTAATAAAATTGAAATATTACGATTATCAAGTTAATTCATAAAGAAAATGAAATTTGCAGAGCACTTAAGTGCTCATATTACACCAGAATGGAGAAAACAATATATAAATTACGAAGTAAGATAAAAACTTTCATTTTCAATATGTCATTTTATAAATTGTTTAATGATAGCTATTTTAAATTTAATAAAAACTTATAAAAAAATATTTTATAGGAAATGAAAGCATTGCTTTATGCAGCAGTAGAACAAGCACCAGCTGCAGATATAACAGAATCACATATATTAGAACGTTATTTTAATAAATTTGATGAACAATTTTTTCATTATTGTGATAAGGAGTTAGCAAAAATAATACATTTTATTCAGGTAAATTTTATATTATATTATACAATTATTATAATATTATTTTTAAAATTTTTTATTTATATTAAAAAATTTTTTGTCTATTTTGTTAGAAAAATTAGCAGAAGCAACGCGTAGATTTGCAACTCTTAATAATGAATTAAGTGAAATTCTATCTGCTTCTGAAAATGGACAAGGAAGTCATAAAATCCGTTATCGTAACAATATTTTGCATAAAAAGCCAATTTCAGCACGCAAACTTCAAGAATTAAAATTAGCTTTTTCTGAATTTTATCTTTTTCTCATTTTACTTCAAAATTACCAGAATCTTAATTTTACTGGATTTAGAAAAATATTAAAAAAACATGATAAAGTATGTAAAGACAATTAATGTATATAATAATTGATACTTATATTAATTAATAGAAGCTGTTATCCTAGCTTTTAAATATAGATCTTGGAGCAAAATGGAGAGCAGAACATGTAGATACAGCATTATTTCATACTCATAAAGATATAGATAGGCTCATTGCAGAAACAGAAGCATTAGTTACCAGAGATTTAGAACATGGAGATAGACAACGTGCTATGAAACGTTTAAGAGTCCCTCCTCTTGGAGAACAGCTTTCTCCATGGATTACATTTAAAGTGGGACTTTTTTCAGGAGCTTTTATTGTTCTTCTTATAGCAGTAATACTTTCAGGTAAAATTATATTTTTATTATATAAAATTTAGATATATGAAAATGAAAGATTAATATTTTTTTTATTTTATAGATTAATATTATATTTTATTTTATTTATTTTATAGGTGCACGTTACAGGAATAATAATAATTGGCGAGTTTTATGTAGATTATATCGTGGACCACTTCTTATGATTCAATTTCTTTTTCTTATGGGAATCAATGTGTATGGATGGAGATCTTCTGGTGTAAATCATGTTTTAATATTTGAACTTGATCCTCGAAATCATTTATCAGAACAGGTTGTATTCTTTATTTATTGTTTATATATAAATTACTGATATATAATATACAATATATTTTCAGCACATTATTGAAATGGCTAGTGTGTTTGGATTAGTTTGGTCTTTATCAATTTTAGGTTTTTTATATAGTGAAACATTGGGAATACCACCATTTGTTCAACCTGTAAGTTTTTATAATATATAAAATTGTTAAAAATACATGTATATAAATAATATTTTTTCAGATGTTGTTATATATATTACTAGCTTTGTTTTTGTTTAATCCAACGAAAACATTACGTTATGAAGCTAGATTTTGGGCACTCCGTGTATTGGGTAGAATATTTTGTGCACCATTTTTTTATGTTGGATTTGCTGATTTCTGGCTAGCTGATCAACTTAATTCTCTACATACGGTTTTCTTAGACTTTCAATATTTTGTTTGCTTTTATGTACAAAATTCTTCATGGACTACTGTCACTGGTTTGTAATTAAATATTTTAATTGCACATTTTATTATTTATTTTAGAACTTAATTTATTTTAAGAAAGTAATTATTTAATGCATTTTTCGATAGATGCGGAAACTTGTATTATGCGCGAACTCTCAATGAGACCATTTGTGGCTTGTTTGCCAGCATGGTTCCGATTTGCACAATGTTTACGGCGATATAGAGATACAAAAGAAGCTTTTCCTCATCTTATGAATGCAGCAAAATATGCTACTAGTTTTTTCGTTGTAGTATTTTCATACTTACATTTAACTAATGCTAGTAAGTATTTTTTATATATAATTAAATAACATAATCAAATAACATAACATAAGAATTATATAGAAGAATATATATATTTTTATATATATTTTTTTATAGAGTATTATGTATTATCTACTGAAAATCCTTATTTTTATTTGTGGATAACTGCAAGTATTATGAGTTCTTGTTTTACATATACATGGGATATAAAATTAGATTGGGGATTATTTGATAGTAATGCAGGAGAAAATAAATTTCTTAGGGAAGAAATTGTTTATTCTTCTCCAGTAAGTTTGATTGTTTATATATTAATTAAAATTTAAAAAATAATTTTATATTTGTATAATAATATTGTATTTAATAATATATGTATTATACGTATTATATACTTAATATTTGTATTATATTTTAGTATTATTATTATTTTGCAATAATCGAAGATTTTATACTTCGTTTTGGTTGGGCATTTTCATTGTCTCTTACTGAAATGGGATACGTACATGCAGATTTAATGGTTTCTATAATTGCACCATTAGAAGTATTCAGGTAAGTTAAAAATAAATTGATATTATTAGCAATAAAAATACATTTTTAGAAATCATAACTTTACTGTACCTACACATTTAATATGTACAAGATATGTCATATTGCACATCATTATATAATATATCGTTTTTAGTGAAGCTTGACAACATTTTTCGCTTGCATGAGATTTAAAATCATTGTACATTTCAGTCAGACAAACAAGATTTACTGAGTGAAACTAATAAATTATAATAAATATAAATAAAATTTTTGTTTTCGATTTTTATCCTTGTTTTATTCATTTCCTTTATCATTTTCTTTTCTTTTATTTTAAGTTTTAAATAATTTTTATTTTAATTTTAAATTCAATTTATTTTATCTTTTTGCCTTTTGGCTTATAATATACAAGGAAATTTTTAATTATTATTAGTTTATAATAATAATATAATAGTAAATATTTTAATTTATCATAAGCAATATTTTGTATCAATTTGCCTTACTAATCAGTTGATAGAAGGTACATGTGGAATTATTTTCGTCTGGAAAACGAACACCTATACAATGTAGGCAAATTTCGAGCAGTTCGAGACATCTCCATAGGGCCTTACAGACGCAATGAAAATGATGAACCGAAGGCGGCTATACGTCTTATGGATTGTACAAACAATGACGGTGATGAATCGACGACATTTGAAATTGTCAAATGTGATCATTGAAATTGTCATCTTGTAATTGCATCTTTTATTTGTATATACTTTAATTTGTAAACATGAATTTTATATTTATAAACAACAGTCTCTATTTATAAACATAATCATTTATATATAGATGAAAAACATAACTTTCATTTATCAATGAATTGAATTTCCTCCTTCTTATTTGTATATTGCATATTATTTTGCATGCTCAGCATGTTGAGTCAACTAATAGTTTAATTTATGCTTTTATGCTAGTATTTATATATCATTTTGTTGTATTTGGAATTATATATAATAAATGATAACGATCAATTTTGATTTCAAAATAATATTTACTCCTTTCTAATAGGAGATTCATATGGAATTTTTTCCGCTTGGAAAACGAACATTTGAATAATTGCGGCAAGTTTAGAGCAGTCAGAGATATATCTGTTGCTCCAGTTGATTGCTCTGACCAAACTCAAATTTTAAGAATGATGGATGCAGCAGACGGGGTAATCAATCGAAAAAGAAAACAAAAGATAATGGATAAAAAACCTTCACGCGCTTTTTCTAAAGGTGAATCCTTGATTTGTGATCTTGATACATAACTAAAAAAATTAGTGGATTCATAAAAATTAAGTGTTAATTTTTTTCTTTCTATAAATGTAAAGAAAACAATGATTTTATTAGTCATACAGTACAAAGATACATATTATATCAGAATGATTCTACTATTTAAGTAAATATGAAAAATGTATAAATGTTGTCAGTCAGTACAAATATATATATAAGAATGATTTTATATATGATTTAGGTAATTATAAGAAATGTATAAATGTTCTTATATATTATAAAATTCTACAACATTTACAACTATGCTTGTACTCTTGTCATAATTCATATTCAAATATCCCGCACAGTAAATTATTCGCGAGAATCAAAGTTTCGAGAGATCGTTGAATATATAATGATAAATTAAATTTAAAAAATTTATAAACGATAAAAACATATTATAAATGAATGAGTTTCTTTCAATAACAAAATATTGATTATAAATTTTAATAAAATAAAGTATTTTAATGTTTTTTAATGAATTATCCATATTATTTTTTCCCCGTAATTTGACAAATAATGCAATATTTTATGCATTTAATATATAAAATTCTTATTTTTTTTTATCTTTTATCTTATTATTATCTTATTTTTTATCTTATTATTATTTTTCATTATTTTATAATGTTTCTATTATGATAAAACTACTTCTATTTATACTACCTAACCTAAATCTAATTTAGCGCGCTTTGAATATTTCAACAGCTGAAAAAAATAAAGCGCTAATAGCGAGTGTATCACGTGTAATCTGTGTCAAATATAGACATACTCTTAATACTCTTTGAACAGTTGTTGAAAGTACAATAGTAGTATATTGATCAGTATTTCAGAAATGATCAAATTATTTGTTTATAGTGCAAAAGATTAATTGCATTTATTATGAATTTTATTTGAAGATAATTTCGCAGGTTCAAAATTTTTAAAAATTATTTATTTCTAGTACAAAACTTCTTGTAAGTATCTCTTTATTTTAAATTTATTTATTTTTTTTTATTCAATTTGTTCATTTTCGATAGTTTTTATGAATCAATATTTTTTTTCAAATTTTTCGCATATATTCAAATATAAGAGGATAAAATATTAAATAATCTTATTTCTTCCATAGAAGAAAATCTCATATATTAAAAAATATTAAAAATAACTTGTCTCAAAACTAATTGAAATTTATTTTAAACATAAAAAAAATATTGATTTTATGAAATATTTAAATCAAATGTAATATAATTTCTATAAATATATACTTTGTTTTTCATTATTTATTCCAAAAAATCTGTAAAAAATTTGTAAATCTATAATCTTTTAAAATAATTTTCTAATATTGTGTCATAATATATTAAAGTGTTTTATATCTCAAGTGAGCCGCGAAAATATTATATTATAAATATTTTTATATTTAATAATATCTTTAAATTATTTATTATTTTTTTCAAATAATAAATAGATATCAAAATATATTATAATTCCAAATTCAAATAAATAAAATTAAATTATAATGTATCATGAAAACTTAATTAATTTTCAATCCATCATTGATCCAAGAAGATTGAGAAACACTGTTTCGGAATATTTTGTATCAATAGTTCCCAACTTGTAAGTAATAATTTATAAAGGGGTTGTAAAATATTTTATAGAGGTCGCTATTATTATTTTTAAAAAGTTAATGACTTTTAAAACTTATTTATTTTAATGTTCTACAGGAATATCATATTCTTTTGCAATTCAAATATAAAATCATTAATTATTGTGCGGCGATAAAATCATATTAATATTTTTTATTTTCTTAACCTTATATAAGAGAATAAATTACATTATAACATTAAAAAAAGAGACAGCAATTGAAAAAGTTAAAAAAAACTATTTTTATATTCATTTATAAGGATATCACACTAAATCCAATATTATTATCATTATTAATAATTTTCATTTAATTGAAGTGACCCGATTTTATGGTAAACGTTATTTCCCAACACAAATCCAGATAACATATATAAAATGAGAAAAGAAAGAAGTAGTAAACATAGGGCATCGAACACGGAAACATAGAATACGCAGGAGGGCAAGCGTCGTCAGTTTCGTCGGCGATGATGTTGTGGTGGAAAGGGTAATGGTAGTATTGATTGCAACGGAACTTGACCGCGCAAACTCTCTGTCTGCCCTCAATGAAATGACGTGCTTACATATGGAACCACGACGGACGGAACGACGATAAAAACCTGTGGATACCACACCTGGCCGACACCTGCCAGTTGAAACGGTGATGATGACATCGACCCTTTGTACCTGCACATGGCTGCTGCTACCCTGCTGTGTTCTCATCACTCTCTCTACCGGTGAACACGATTTTTATCAAGGTGAGGACACATATCGTCCATTCGCCCGAAAACACTCATCTTTTCGAGGGTAATGACACTATAAATGTATCATCCCTCTCCATCCAATATACCACAATTTTTTGTTCCTTTTTATTTCATTTTTATTATTTCTTATGTTTTTTGAAATCGCAAATATATTTTAAAGAGTCTCGAACCACATTGCACGATACCACGAATATCATGATGTCATGATGTAATCGATCATTTCACATTATTCTTTATTTCTAATTTTATGAAAAATTAGTCTTATTCTTGATTAATTTCTTATTTTTTAGTTATGACTGAGTGAAAATGTTAAATTTCAAATTTTATGAAAAATGTTTAAGGTTCGTTCGGAGTTTACATATGTTTGCGTGTGTATGTAACGTTGATGATAATATATTCTCTGTTTCTTTTTAATTCATTTGAAATATAATTTGATTGAGTAATTTAAAGATTCATTTTCAAATGTACAATTTCTTCAAAAGAGAGGAATTTAATTAAATGGTAAATACACGTGTAATTATTATACATAAGTATATTATGTCTAATTTTAAATTGAATAGAAATGAAATACATATGTGTTTATCAAAGTTACAGTAACGCACATGTATACATGTTAAGTAGTTTGTTAACCACCGGAAATTCCTATCCTGATATCGCCACGAAACAAACCAATAATGAATGGATATTGTACAATTTGTCGATATGTTTTGTTTTTGTAAAATTAATATATTATATTATTTTAGTAATAAAAAAATAATGTCGATTTCGTGAATATAAAAATATTTGAATCAATTTATTATAATATTATAATAATCCTATATATCTTGTTTTTGAATCATTTAATATATATATAAACATTATAAAATTATTGTGTAATTTATTAAATTTTTTTGTATATTTTTCTATTTTTTTATCTTATAATTCATACTTGTCTATTGTTATGTACATTTATTCATAACATTATTTCAAAAATATAACAAATTTTTTTGAAAATACTTGTAATTATATATATTTTTACATTCATATGTGTAATATGACTAAAAATATAGATCTATTTTCTACTACTCTTTCTTCTAGTAATATATTATTATTATAAGTATTTGCTATATATTATTATTATAAGCTTGATCTAAATACATTGATTTCTAAATTTAAACAGAATAAGAATAGAATATTTTATGAATATGAAATATCATCCATAAAATAAATTTATCATAAATAATAATATAGAAGCTATCTAAATTTATTTCTTTTATCGGTAAACTCGACAAAATTTTTTCATTGACTTAAAACTTTAGTGAAAAGGATCGTATTATGAAATAATGCGGAAATAAAGAGAAAAATAATTAAATGAAAAAATCATAAACTAGCTAAGTGTAATCTGAGAAATAAAGCATAGAAGATAGGTAATAAAAGATAATAGAAGATAAAAAATTGAAAGAGAAAGTTTAGAAAAGAATTTACTAATGGAAAAATCTAAATATTTAATATAAATATAAAATAGAATCGATACTAGAAATCGAAAAAATCGATAAAAGAATAATCAATCGTCAATCGATATTTAATTTTCTTTAATAAATGCAAGAAATTGAAAATTAAATATCATTTCCAAAGATGCAACAAGTTGTTCAAAAAAAAAAAATTGATTTTTTTAACAGTTGTAATGCACAAGAATAATAATGTGAATATTTTTCAGATGATATTCCTGAATCTTCGAATATTGCGCTTAAGCAATTTTTGATTAAATATCTCGAGGGACAAAGAACGCATTATCCATTGTTTGAGAGCCAAACTTACAAGAAACATCATTTGGATTTGTATCGCCAAAAAAAGGAACTTTTGGAAGCTTTGATCAATAAAAGAAATTTAGCTGAAATTCTAAGAAAAGAGAAACCGAAAGAATGGAATTATCGGCAAATAAAATACAACGAGCCGATCAACGAATTAGCGCAAGAGAGGGAACATTATTCTCCGCTTTATGAAATGTTGAATCCGTTCCAGAGTTCCTTGGAATATATGAACTTTAAGATGCCTTATTTTCCCCATGAAACGAACGATGATGAGGATATGAATTTTCAAGATGATAACGAAGATGGATATGATCAAAACTTCGACAGAGGAATGAAGGAAGAACCGTTGTTTGAACTCCACGGAAGTTATAGTGGTTCAATTAACGAGGACGGCAAAACTGATATGCAGATACAAAAACCTCAAGCGACCATACCAGAATTCACTTTTAAATTCGAGGATTCAATTTTGCCCGAGAGACATCCGTTCGCGGTAAAACCCAACGATCCTAGATATTATAATGACGTTCCTTTTTCATTAGGTATGTCAAACTTCAATATATATTTCATTTATTTTATTTATTTCATTTATTTCATTTATTATAAACTTCATTATATTTCATTATGCTCTTTTTAATAAAATATTGCATTTTATGTTTCGAAATAAACATGAAAAATAAAATCTCTTATCATTTTTTTCTTCTTAGAAAAAATAAATTAGATCTGATTCTAAATCTTTAAAAATATATACGATTTTTTAATTTTATTTAAAAGTTAAAAAACACAGAATTTAAAATAATTTATTATTGATATAATATATCATGATATATTTATTTTTATATATAATTATATGCTATAATTATATATAATATATGATATAATATATTATGATATAATAACATATAATTATTATAATATATTTTGAAAAGTAAAAAAATAATAATATGCTAGCTAAATAGGACATTTTTAACTAAGAAGGGCAGAATTTATATTGATAATATTTTTATAATTTTGTATAAATTTATAATAATTATTGTAGAATATTATGTTATTATACTTATAATAGATGATGAAGACAATTCGGATTTCGAAAAATCGATAAAAAATAATACAAAATGGGAACAAGAGAATATAATGACAGTAAATGGACCTATCGTACGTGAAGAAAATCCAAGAAATATTGAGTCTAAATTTAAGGATACGGATCCAGTGATATCTGAATTGGAACGACGAACGGAATACAACCCACTGTTTATACCTGTAAACCAGGATTTGAATAATGATATATATTTTATTGGTAAGCTAATACATAGTTATCTAAATTTTATTGCGCCAAATTATACAAAATTAATATATTTTTTTTTTGAGAATAGAGTCTAGACAGCAAAATAAAATATAACATATAAAAAAATATCAATTTATTTATTAAATTATAAGCAATTTAATTTTTCATTAAATCAGAATGTTGAATCCGTTGCATCATATTCTTTCTTTTCTTTATTTGATTAATAGAGCACAAGGAAAAACTCTATATCTACTTTTTTTCTCAGTTCTGTATATATATATATATATATATATATATATATATAGTTAGTTTATTAATAATTATTA